TATAAGGATTGGTGAGTGGGTGGGTGGAAGGTTGCATGGGTGGTGGGTGGAGGGGTGGACGGATTGACAGCTCTTGTTGCTGTACAAAGGAAGACGAGGTCGGTGTTCTCCCTTTCCTTACTTTCTTCCAGCTTTATGTCCTTAGTCAAGGACAATGTGTGTACCGGGGAAAAGTCTCAAATCTTGTGCCATACTTGAGGGAATTAGGTCTGAATTGCCCAACCTATCACAATCCTGCTGACTTTGGTAAGTAGAGCCTTGACCAGCTGGAGGGGAAAGAAAAGGGCTCTTCTCCGCTCTCAGTGGGTTTCTGCTTTTACCTGAAGCCCCAAAATCTGGAATTCCTTCACTATTCCAAACATGGGTCAAGTGCCATCCTGCGGTGGAGCTTTTAAGAACAGATAAGAGGTTGTCTTTCCTCCAGATAAGATACCTGGGAACTAGAACAAGGCAGCTGTTAGGAGCAGAAGTTCCTAATGCTGTGCTGTGTTACGCTTCTGCTTTTAAAGAAGTTATTTCTGGAAAGAAATAACCTTTAAAAATTAAAAGTGACCCTTTTGCGTCGGTTTACCGAATTGTTAAAATGCTGATTTAAATTTTGACCAAACATAGCAAAAAAGGTGATGCTCAGTGTCCAGAGACTATGTTGATGGTCCGAGCTCCTCCTTCTGAGCTGGTGGTCCTGGGATTGGTGGCCTTGGTGCTTGGAGGCCAGTTGAACCATTTCACGGGCCTTGAGATGCAGGGGCCCACACCTCCGTGCTGGTAGTGCTCCCGGGCATTCTCTCTACCCACACCCTCCAGGGCACTGACCATTGCCAGCCATCACTTTCCGCCCACCGGGTCCCCATGCCCAGCACCGTCCTCCACATCATGCTTCCCCGCATAGCTCTCAGCAAACCCAACAGCCTCTCCAGGCTGTCTCCAAAACCAAATGTCCTCCACCTTGCTTTGCAAGCTGGAGTCCCTGGCATCCCTCTTGCCTTCTCTTTCTCTCCAGTTTCATGTTTACTAGACCCCCAAGTTCTGGAGATCCCCGACTCAGTACTGTTCCCCCACCTCAACCCCGGTGCCAGGGTCCAATCTTTGCCAGCACCTCCTGCTTTCCGTGCCTGCTGAGCCACACACTGAGTGGTCTAAAACCTCGTGGTTCTGGGGGCCAGAAGGAAGTCAAGGTGTGGGCAGGGCCGTGCTGCCTCTGAAAGTCCCGGGGGAGGCTCCTTCCCGCCTCTTCCAGCTCCTGGTGGCTCCAGCGTTCCTGGGCTTGTGGCTGTGTCCCTCCAGTCTCCAGGCAACATGTCCTGGTTTATGACAGGACCTAGGAGGGCTTGACCACCCTGGTTTAGGGGTTCAGGCTCGGGGAAAGCGGACAGCTGGTTTTGCAGAGGACAGAACCAAAAAATCAAGGCCGGGGACTTTGGGCCTCAGCAAGGATGTTAGGGAGAGGTGGGGCCGTGGGAAGGAGGCACCAAGACCTCAGGTTGGGAGCGAGAAGGGGCAGCAGTAGTGTGGGGTGTGGAACCAGGGGCCAAGGAGAGGCCAGTGGGAGCCAGAGACAGGGTCTGACATCCCTGGGGATGGAGAGGTGGGGTTGATGGTCCCACGCAGCCTGGTGCCTCCGGGGCCCTTCTCCATGGTGCTGAAGAATCACTCCCGCCTCGGCCCATAGGGACACACAAGCCCCCTTCTGCTCACCTTCTGGCTCCAACCCTGCGGCCTGAATGCTGAAACAGGCATTCAGTTAACATCAGTGGGTGGATAAGTCAATAGATGGTGAGCTAATGACCTCCCAGGCTCCCTGGCATCACCACCTGAATTTGCATTTCTAGGATCCGACATGATGAATGGCCTTTCTGGGTGGGGGGGAGGGGAGTTTAGGGCTGAAAACACACTGGCTGTGAAATGATTTCATCGTGTCACACAGCGTCCATATAATGGGTTGAAAATATCCCCGCCAGGCTAATGGCTGTGTTGTCGCAAAACAAGCACCGCCTGGCTCCATGGGAGGGACCTGGGGGCACCTCTCCGGGGCCCGGGGCTGACCCGCCTGTGTCTCCTGCAGTCATGGAGGTAGCGTCCGGTGAATACGGTGACCAGAACAGCCGCCTGGTGAGAGCCGTCCGGGAGGGCATGTGTGATTCTGACCACAGGAGAGAGCCTGGGGGGGATGCCGAGGTGAACCCTTTTCTTTGGCACCGGCCCTCTGAAGAGGTAAAGCAGGCAAAACGATTAAAGGGGTTGAGAAAGGTAATGCAAACCCCCGGCCCCCCCGTGGGACGGCTGCATGCTGCACCTTGCACGCTGCTGCATGGGGGCTCCGAGCCGGGGGGAGGCGCGTCCCGGGCGGGCGGCTCACCCCTCCCCCTTCCCGCGTGTGTCCCCAGGACTCCACCTCCATGGAAGGCTGTCACAGCTTCTCGGCCAGCTGCCTCACCCAGTTCTGCATTCTCTTCAAAAGGACCTTCCTCAGTATCATGAGGGATTCGGTAAGGGTGTTTGCAGATATTCTCCCGCGTCTCGTGCGTGTCGGGTCATTTTCCACTTTATTCATCCCGATGGGGCTCTCGGATTGCTTTCCCTGCATCTGCATCAGTCAGCTTTCCCTCCACGATGCTGCTGTGACAAACAGCCCCCAGATGCCAGTGGCTACAATAGGAAACATGTATGTCTCACTGGTGTCGTGCGTTGGTGGCTGTGGCTTGTGGCCCTGCCTCACGTGTCTCATCCTGGGACCCGGAGCGGACACACGGCTCCTTTTCTGGGACGCGGCAAAGGGCAAGCGTGAGAGAGAAATCCAGGCGGCCTGTAAAACTTCCCGCTGGGGGCGGCAGACCGTCTCCCGTGCGCACGTCCCACCGGCCAGGCCCAAGTGGGAGTGCTCCTCCCTCGAGGAGTCCCTGGGGGCCCAGGTGCTGGCAGATGTACAGAGCCCGTCAGGCGGGAGGTGGTAAGTGACCGGGAGCTGTGATCATGTCCACCTGTCCCAGTGGACAACCTGACGGGCTACCTGCCGAGGACGGCCGAGTGCCCAGTGGGGCTCCGGGACCTACTTGGAAAGTTGGAGGGCTGGGGGCCGCCCAGGCCAGTGTGCTCCGAGGAGCGGCCTCGGATGTATCTATTCTAGCAATTGCTTCTGTTTTCACAGCAGTTAAATGCTGTGTGTGTGTGTGTGTGTGTGTGTGTGTGTGTGTGAGAGAGAGAGAGAGAGAGAGAGTTGGTTTAGGGTTCAGGCTTGTTTTTCTGGAGGAGAAATCAGCAGCCGATGCCTCCAGAGGCCTTGGCCTTGTTGTCGTTGCCTGACCCCCGCGAACACCAGTGAGAGCCGTGTCTGCCCCCAGGTCCTGACGCACCTGCGGATCACGTCTCACATCGGCATCGGCCTCCTCATCGGCCTGCTCTACCTGGGGATCGGGAACGAAGCCAAGAAGGTCCTGAGTAACTCCGGCTTCCTCTTCTTCTCCATGCTGTTCCTCATGTTCGCGGCCCTCATGCCCACCGTTCTCACGTGTGAGTGCCTGACCCTAGACCCACCCACCAGTGGGGCGCTGAGACCGGGGCGTGGCCCATAGATGACTTTTCTGACGCGTACTATCTTGGTTCTTCGAAGTGCCATTTTCTTGGTTGACAGGTACTATCATATTTTCCCTTAGACGAGAAAATACATACCATGTTTAAGCCAAAGGAATTAATCACTAATGACATATCTGTCAGCATGGAGGAAGGCTGATGGGGGGTTTCTGAAAGGTGTTCTGATCAGAAATCCCTCAAATTTTACTGGGGTAGCATGACCTCGTTCACTTATTAAGGGAGCCTGCTGTGGCCAAGTTTGCCAGCGGGTAAAGCTATTCTGGATGGATTTCTGTGTAGTTCCGGATTGTTTGTGAGTGCACTGCCTTTGCTCACTTCGGGCTGACCGTGAACTCTGGCGTAAAAACCGCCCCCCGGCCCGAGTGCTGCCGCCCTACATGGCCCTGAATCCTCAGGACCAGCTTGGGGGCTCTTGCCCACGGAAGGACTCACATTGGTCAGTGGTGAGGTTAGCCGTAACTACTTGAGCGCATCACTGAAATAACGCTCAGTCTCCGAGGAGACGTCCTCCGCTCTTTGATTTTCCGCTCGGTGCCTCTTCGGGTTATAAAACCAGTTGGCAGTTTTTCCAGGCTGGTGACTCACTTCACATGTTTTCGCTCCGTCTCTGAGCGCTGCACGCACACAGGCCCAGGCCGCGGCCTCCAGCTCAGCACGGGGTCGCCTGGGCGCGTCTGCAGCTGGCCGGGGACGTCCGGCCGACCCCTTTTCCATCCTTCTGTCTCCTAGTCCCCCTGGAGATGGGAGTGTTCCTTCGGGAACACCTGAACTACTGGTACAGCCTGAAAGCCTACTACCTGGCCAAGACCATGGCCGATGTCCCCTTCCAGGTGTGTGAATGAAGGGGCGAGGTTGGAAGAGGGGCGGGAATTCTCCGTCACTGCCGGCAGGGGGTGGGGGAGGCAGCCGCTTGCAGGGGGCGTGACGGACCCCGTGCTTCCAGATCATGTTCCCGGTGGCCTACTGCAGCATCGTGTACTGGATGACGTCACAGCCGTCCGACGCCGTGAGGTTCGTCCTGTTTGCCGCGCTGGGCACCATGACCTCTCTGGTGGCGCAGTCCCTGGGTCTGCTGATTGGAGCTGCCTCGACGTCCCTGCAGGTACCGGCGGGGGAAACACCACCTGAGGGCCTCCCTTCCCCCACCTGGGCCGGTGCGGCCGGGGCTGCTGCCCTGGCGGGGCTCAGTACTACCCCTCCTCCCCAGACCCCCCTCTCGCTTCTGCCCTGACCGCCTGGATCGGCTTCACCTGGTCGCTCCCTGGGGAAGGACTCACACTGCTGTGGCCGGTCAGGGTTGGTACGCTGCCACCAGCAGGTGCCCTCGGGTGGCACATGATGGCTCATGGAGCCCCCCCCACGCCCTCCCGCTAGCTGGGATGCTGTCCCCATTTCACAGATGTGGAGACTGAGGCCCAAGAGGCAACACGGTCTGGTCAGGCTCACGCAGCTGGCTCCGAGTCCTACGGTTTGCAGCCTCTGGGGAATCCACTCCACTACCCCGTGGACCCCCCCCCCCAGCTGCAGTCTGTGCCCCCACCCTGCCCCGAGCCCCTCCACGTGCTCTCTGGGGCTTCACGTGCCCTTCACGTGTCCGGCACCGCCCTGCCCCCCAACCCGTCAGCCCCACCTGCTTAGCCCCTAGGGTGGCCCCCCGCTCCACGGACGGGAATAGCGATGGTACCCCCGGGATGGCTGTGGAAAGTGCTTGGGCCCACCGGCCACAGTGGGTGCCCAGGGGATAGCGCTCACGGCCCTTCCTCCCTCGGACACGGTGGCAGCACCTGGCTGTCTGACCCTCCAGGTGCTGTTCCTGCTGCCTCACCGCCAGTCACTGCGGTCCCCACTGTAGCCCTGCAGAAGGCTCTGTCTCTTTGCCTCCCGTCCCCTCTGCTGGGGCCCTCTGATCTCCAAGCCCGACATCCCAGCCGCTCCCTGCTGCTGGAGGACGGGGGCTCCTTCGTGCCATCTGGGCCTCGTGGGCCCCAGCCTGACACCCTGGCCCGGCCCCGGCTGCTGCTGACCCTGCAGACACGTGGGGGATGGCCTCCTGGGGACACTTGAGGAAATCGGGCGGGACCTCCCCTCTGCCGCCTCTGAGCACGTGCTCCCTGTGTCCCGCCAGGTGGCAACCTTTGTGGGCCCTGTGACGGCCATCCCCGTCCTCCTCTTCTCGGGGTTCTTCGTCAGCTTCGACACGATCCCAGCTTACCTGCAGTGGATGTCGTACATCTCCTACGTCAGGTAGCGTGTGTGACGTCTCTCATCACTCGGAGCGCTGTGCGCACAGAGGGAGGGGACGAAAGCCACTTCTCAGCCGTCAGCTACAGGCCAGCGTGATGCTTGCATCACGGATCCAAGGCCGTTGGTGCCTTTCATTTTTTTTCCTAAGTCTTATGTGTTCCCATCGTCACCAACACACATGCACACGCACACACACACACACACACACTCACGCACACACACACACACATAAGAATAAAATGAATACTAGCAGTTTGTGCCTTGGAGGAGCCACTGTGGACCCCCAAATTCCGCCTGTTTTGGAGAGCTGCCGTGGGGAGAGTGTTTTCATCTTAGGAACCTCGTTTCTCTTGGGAACGAACAGCACCCGTCACTCTGACCCTGTGTAAATCCAGGAGAAACCAAGTCATGTTTTAAACATCCTACTGTTTTCGACCAAGAGCGTCCTGGCCCCTCGGCACTGTGGCGCCCGGACCTCGTCCTCTCTGCTGGGGGTTTCCTGGCACGTTGGCCTCCCTGGACAGCGCCCGCCTTCAGAGCTCGCCTCCCCCAGCTGTAGCGACTCTGGGTGATGCCTGAGATCCGAAGCTGGGAAGAAGCTTTCCTTTTCTAGAATGTCAGTTCAGACCCAGATGTATTGTTCAGGAAAACAAAATCAAAACAAAGCACTCGTACAGAGTTTCAGCGATCGGTGTGCGTTCCAACACCAAGAAATCCGAAACCCAGGTCTTTCTTCCTAAAAATTGGTGTTTTTGGTCTGGCGCTGTAGAGCTGGGACAGAACAAGGGCTGGCACAGAAGGGTTTTATTTAAATGTTCTACGGTCCTTTGGGGCACCTGGGTGGCTCAGTCGGTTGAGCATCTGACTTCCGATCAGGTCATGATCTCACGGTCTATGAGTTCG